TACAGGCATGGGCCTATAATCCAGCTAAGTGTTATTTTTGACTATCAATTATTCTGTGGCAAATCCCTCTTTGTTCTTTAGCTACCCAGGGCAGATTCTACTACTTGACTGCTAAAACTCAGTTCCATTTGGTTTAAAACATTAATTTCACAATTGGATCAAAGTGCTGAGCCTCTCCAATATGAGTTAGACTTATAACAGGAGGAAATTGATTAACTTTTTCAATCTTCCTCCTACTCTTGTGCCCTGGAAGGCATGTGGAGGACAGGTCTTGCTCTGGAATACCTTGTCTCCTTCCCTGTTCTCAGAAGATAGCCTAGAAGGAGGTGAGGCATCAGAGAAATTTTCTCTAGCAGCTAGTTGCTTATTGTTGGGGATGCATCCTTGATATCTACTACTCTAGTACAGTTTTGTTCTGCTGCTGCTACTGATCTCTAATTAAGTGGTATCCTCCAATGAATGAGTGCATACTTTTCATTTTAACCCAGTTGTACCCTTAGCACTAGATTACTGTAGTATAATGCATGCTGGACAGAAGACAGGCATTGACACTTGATTTTTGTTATTGTTCTGAAGAACAGGAACAGTTTATAATCAGAACACTTTTGCTTCTCACAGTGCCTGCTAAATAGTCTCTCCCAGGAAGGATGTGTGACAGAGTTCAGTGTGGCTGACGTAGGTTGGAGAGCAGAAGGCCAGGTGATACTCAGAGTGCTTCTGGATTTTAAGCACTTTAAGAGCAGCCAAAAGAATATGTATTGAATATCTACTAAGGCTAATATCTACTTAGTGTGATAGTGATTGTTATTCAGTTCAATTTTACAGATGAGGAAAGTGAAGTAAGAGTTAAATCATTTGCCAAGGTTAGAGGTCATAAGAAACCAATCTAGGGTTTGAATTCAGGCTTTCTACATCTTTCTGCGTGTCCCAAAAGATGGCAAGGAGGCTTAAACAAACTGCTTATTTTTCTATAAATTCTTTTAAACAATAGATTCCCAGAAGCCCCACTCAACATGTATGTCTGATTGTGTCTTATTAATTTGATCTGTATTAACTGGCCACTGCAAATGATTGTGGGAAAATCAACCTTTTTGTTAACTTTTTTGTTTGTTTCAGAGAGAATACTACATTAATAAAACTGCAAGACTAATTTTTTTCTTTTTTTTAATTTTTAAATTTTTTTTAGTTGAACATGGACACAATACCTTTGTTTTACTTATTTATTTATTTTATGTGGTGCTGAGGATCGAACCCAGTGCCTCACATGTGCAAAGCAAGTGCTCTACCACTGAGCCACAACCTCAGTCCCAAGAGTAATTTTTAAAAAAAWTTTTTTTTAGTTGTAGTTGGACACAATACCTTTATTTTATTAATTTATTTTTATGTGATGCCGAGGATCGAACCCAGGGCCTCGCATGTGCGAGGCGAGTGCTCTACCGCTGAGCCACAACCCCAGCCCCACAAGACTAATTTTATAATAAATAAAGAATTAGTTTTATGGCCTTAATTAAATTCTGGGAAAATAAAGTATGCCTTTGCTTGGAAGTGACAGAACCTCATATCAAACCAGCATAAGCCCCAGGTGATCTGTTGGCTCATCTAAACAAACTCTGGAAGGGGCAGGAGTGAAACTGACTTTAGGAATACTGGAACCTGAGACTTGAAGGTCTTTGAAACCCTCTCTGTACCTTTTATATCCAGTTCCCTCTCTTAAGGCATTAGGGACTGAAAGAATATAAAAAGAGCTTCTCTGTTTTCCAGGACCATTTTTTTTCTTAAATCCAGGGGAAGTAATTGGATCAGCTCCTCTTATGCACATGCCTATCTTTGGATCAGGGTTTATATTCAACCAGCTTGCTGATTGTTGAATACTTTTGAGTTCTCACCATTACTTTGAACAAATCACTGTGGTCAAAGGAAGATGTTCCATGATTGGGAGGAGGCAATGGGATAAGTCTGTTAGTATAGAAAGGAAGAAAGGGAAACTAAACAGACAAAAAACTATAATCTTTTAGCATAATATGTGAATAGGTATGTATGTTTACATAATTTTCCAGCTATTTATTGTGAAATTTTTTTTTTAAAGAGAGAGTAAGAGAGAATTTTTAATATTTATTTTTTAGTTCTCGGCAGACACAACATCTTTGTTGGTATGTGGTGCTGAGGATTGAACCCGGGCCGCACGCACGCCAGGCGAGCGCGCCACCGCTGAGCCACATCTCCAGCCCTATTGTGAAAATTTTTAAACCTGCATAAAAATTGCAAGAATGGTACAGTAACTACCTGGCACAGTGGTGCATATCTGTAATCTCAGTTACTCAGAAGACTAAGGCAGGAGGATCACAAGTTTTAGGCCAGCTTGGGCAATGTACCAGAGCCTGTCTCAAAATAAAATAAAATAAAATAAAGTAAAAGGCTAAGGATGTCGTTCGGAGGTAGTGCACTAGCCTAGCATTTGCAAAGCCCTGGATTCAATCCCTAGTATCACAAAAATGAATGAATGAACAAACAAATAGAAGGGTAGAATAACTACTCAAATGCCTTTCATCTAGATTGCCTAACTGCTAACTTTCCCTCATTTACTTTCTCTCTCCCCTCCCTTACACATACACCATCACACCACACACACACACACACACACACACACACACACACACACACACATACTCCTTGGCTGAACCACTTTAAAATAAGATGCTGATAATGTAATACTTTACCCCTAAAATGCAAGTCTTCAGAATAAGGATATTCTCATATATAACCATGATATGATTTCCATACTAAATACATTTAATATTCATATAATGCTATCATCTATCATCTATTATACAATCTGTACTAAAATTTCCCCACTTGTCTCAATAATATCTTACAACCACAGAATTTTTTTCTTTGTTAATTTCAATCCAGAATTGAATTGAGGGTTCCATATGGCAAATGGCAAATTGATACCATATTCCTTTTTCCATACTTTTTGTTTCAATACTGGGGATTGATTTTTGTGGGGGGTGGGGTGGGGATAGGCATTAGGGATTAAACCCAGGGGCACTTTACCACTGAGCTACATCCCAGGCCTTTTTGTTTTTTTAAAAAAAATTAGGACAGGGTCTCACTAACTTGCTTTTGGCCTCTCTAAATTGCTGAGGCTGACCTTTAACTTGCAAACCTTTTGCCTCAATCTCCTGAGTTGCTATGATTACAGGCCTGTACCACCACACCTGGCTGGTACTGGAGATGGAACTCAGGGGGTGCTCTGTCATTGAGCTACATCCCTGGCCTTTTTTATTTTTGTTTTAATACAGGGTCTTGCGGGCTGGGGATGTGGCTCAAGCGGTAGCGCGCTCGCCTGGCATGCGTGCCGCCTGGGTTTGATCCTCAGCACCACAAACAAAGATACTGTGTCCGCTGATAACTAAAAAATAAATATTAAAATTCTCTCTCTGCCTCTCTCTCTCTTTAAAAAAAAATTAAAAAATAATTAAAAAAAAAAAAGACACAGGCTTGCTAAATTGCTGAGGCTGGCCTCAAATTCCGTGATCTGCCTGCCTCAGCCTCCCAAATTGGATTCACAGGCATGTGTCACTGTTCTTGACTGTTACATTTCTTTAGTATGCTTGAATTTTGAAAAATTTCTAGCCTTTTTCCTCTCTCTTCTTTCTTTTCTGTGTTTTTTTTTCTTCTCTCTTTCTCTTGTTGAGGTGCTGGGGATTGAACCTGGACCGTTGTTTATGCCAAACACACCCTCTACTACTGAGCTATACCCCAAATCCCTGGTTTAGGTCTTTGGCAAAGAATCATAAACATTTTATTAGAGTCTGAGTCAGTTTGCACAAAGTCCCTTATTTTGCATTTGTTAATTTTTTTCTCATGATTAGATTCAGGCTGTGCATTTTGGGACAGGAATACTAGATTAGGGCTATTGTGTACTCAGTGCAGTGTTTCATAAAATGTCACTCTATCTCATTTTTGGTAATAAGTTTGATCACTTCGTTAAGGTGGTATCTACTAGTTTTCTCCATTATAAAGGAATCTCCTTATTTTAATGAATAGGTAATGTGTGGGGTGATACTTTCATATACATGGCTAATTTTTTAAGGATTTTTTTAAAAAGATGGACATGATATCTTTACTTTATTTATTTTATTTATTTTTATGTGGTGCTAAGGATAAAACCCTGTGCCTCACTTGTGCAAGGCAAGAGCTCTACTGCTGAGCTGTAACCTCAGCCTCTACATGGCAACTCTTTAAAGTACATTTTCTAAAATGGACAAGGTAGCTCTTAGAATGGCAATGCCAGAGGAGTTGGCTTTTCTAGTAGATCTGGGTGAAGGGAGAGAGGTGCCTATAGCATAAAACTTACAGAGGCGCTCACTCTCTGGTTTGCCCCTAGGCTTCTTGCTCCCTTCATCCTAATCTTAGAAATTACCCCCTCCCCCAAACTGGGCATGGTGCTGCATGCCTCCCAGCAGCTCCAGAGGCTGAGGCAGGAGGATGGCAATTTCAGGATCAGCCTCAGCAATTTAGTGAGGTGCTAAGAAACTTAGCGAGACTCAGTCTCAAAAGTAAAAAGAATAAAAGGTGGGGGTGTGAGTGGGTGTGGATGTGGCTCACTGGTAAAGTGTCTCTGGGTTCAATCCCTGGTACCAAAAAAAAAAAAAAAAAAAAAAAGAAAGAAAGAAAACAACCCCTTTCCTGGTCCCCACAGTGTGGGCATAGAACCCAAGACCTTGCACATGCTACACAACCATACTACCACCAACCTATGTCCCCATCCCATGCTGTGGCTCTTTAATCTGGATAACAGAAAATGTTTTTAACTTATTTCTTTAGATCCTTAAATAAATGCTTTGTTTAATGAAATAGTTTTGAAAAGTAAATGGAATATAAATGTGTAGATTTGAAGATCTTTTTTTTTTTTTTCATGGTAAAGACTGCTTTATTGGTGGCAGTTAGTACAAGTCAATAAATACTTATCCCCAAAGAAGAGCTCTGTTATTTATCAGAGTACTGGTCCATAGAGAGCTGAATTAAACTGAACCAAACGATTGCTGAGAAGACTGAAGTCAATCCTGCTTCTTGGGAAATGAAGCCATGGCCAACTGATATATGGCATAAGCTGTTCCACCAACTGTAAGAACCATGGTGGCTCTATACAGCAAGGCATCAGCTACTCCACCCTTTAGATGCACTGGAATTCCATTATCCTCCTGAAACAGCTTTTGTTTCTCTGKAACTTTATTTTCAAAATGTCTGCGTGAAGCAGTGCTGATGGTCCTTTGGGCAATCTGATGAAAACCCAGCAGATTACACAGCATCTTGCCTCACTTACTGCCCAACAACCGTGACAACTGAACGCCAAGAACGAAAATAACCACGCCAGACTAGATTTGAAGATCTATTGCTTCAATAAAGTTATTAACTATGAAGGAATCCTCCCTAGGTCACTCTTCTATGCTCAGTATATAAATATATTGATAACTGTTTTCTGAAGTAAAATTGAAAACAACCACTTTGCCTTCTATATTTATGCTTCTAAACAAAGATCCTGCTATAGACTTTCTTTTCTTCTTTTTTTTTTAAATTATAGGTGGATACAATAACTTTATTTATTTATTTATTTTAAAGAGAGAGAGAGAGAGAGAGAGAATTTTTAATATTTATTTTTTAGTTTTTCGGCGGACACAACATCTTTGTTTGTATGTGGTGCTGATGATCGAATCCGGGCTGCATGCATGCCAGGCGAGCACGCTACTGCTTGAGCCACATCCCCAGCCCCCAATAACTTTATTTTATTTTATGTGGTGCTGAGGATCGAACCCAGTGCCCCACGCGTGCCAGGCGAGCTCTCTGCCTCTGAGCTACAGCCCCCAGCCCTAGACTTTCTTATTTGTGGTAAATGGCTTTGAACCATGCTTGAAAGCAATACAAATAGTTTTCATATGATTATGTTTTTGGAAGTCTGTGCAAAATGTGATTTCACTTAGAGTTTGGTGTGACAGCTGCAAATTGCCACATTCCAGCTTAGTGCTTCAATATTGTATTTTCAGTATGACTGAGTTGCTCGATTCTGGCTTGGCCTTTTCCACAGAGAGGCTGGCGCTCAGACAAATCCCCTCAGACACTCTCACAAAGAGATGTTGACATATCATGGTCTCTCAGAGGTCCTAACTGGGTAGCAGCCCATCCAGGCATGCTGGGCATGAGCATGAGTATCCATGTCTGTTATCCCGTGGGATGGTCTCCTCATGCTATTTGGCTAGCAGTCAAGAGTCTTAGAGAGCCCTTGGAGATGGGAATTCTACCCTGGGAGTAGCATGGCTTGGTAGAAAGGCATTGGGCCAGTTTAATAGGGCAAAAAGTCTCATTCAAAGAAGTCTGAAGTTTTGTAGTGGGCTGGAGAATTAAATTCCTCTTCATCATTATGTTGACCATTGTGTTAGTGCTCAATAGGTAACTGGTAGAGTATTCAGGAAGCTCCTAGGTACTTGAGATGTATAAATGGATGCCTAACCCAAGGAACTTACTCTAACTTGTTTGGAGAAATAGAGTACAGCTGTTGACTTTTTTTTTTTAAAGCCTACTTCACCACCCCACCCTAACCCCAACACTACTTATAACTCATCCAATGAATTTTTAAAATAGGTTTATCAAATACTTCTTCTATCTATGCCAAGCACTGTGCTCTGCTTAAGATGTATAGAAATAAACAAGATAAATTGTTCTTGGCTTGATATTATACATAAAAATGTTATAATGGTTATCTTCAAGAAGTAGGACTAGATGGAGATATGGATAGAGATTCTTAATTTTTACTTTTTGAACTTTACTTTTTGGGCAATAATGTTTTTAATAATTCCACAAAATCTTTTTGGTAATTTTTCATGTCAGACACTCTTCTGAGGTTTGAGAAGATAGTATTGAATGAAGCAGAGTATGTTCTCTGTCTTCATGGAGCTTATATTCTGATTGGAAAGGAGCAATAAACAAATAGATCCATAAAATATATCATAAAATATAATTTTTTTTTTAAAGAGAGAGTGAGAGAGGAGAGAGACAGAGAGAATTTTTAATATTTATTTTTTAGTTGGCGGACACAACATCTTTGTTGGTATGTGGTGCTGAGGATCGAACCCGGGCCGCACGCATGCCAGGCGAGCGCGCTACCGCTTGAGCCACATCCTCAGCCCCAAAATATAATTTTTTGAGGATTGATGACATATCCTGTTTTAAAAAAAATTGAAAATGCAGTTATTATTTTGAAAAGGTTATCATATTCTTGGTTCTGATAATCTGACTCTTGAGAGATCAAGACTTTTTGCTGGCCTGGGCACATAGCAGCACACAGAGAAATAGTCCAGAGGGCCAAGCCTCAAAGCCTTAAAATTTGGACTCTTCTCTAATCCTCTCTCCACCCAGCACAAATGAAAAGGCAGTCAAAGCTGTCTGCATTCTTTTGGCACACAAGTGATGTCAATCCAGAGAATCTGGCCTGGATGGTTGCCCTTGACTGGAGTCCAGGCCTTTCCCCTTGCAGTATGGGGACAGAACTCGCTGCTGTGCCAGTATTTGAAGGTGCCAACACTGCCTACCATGCATCAATAGCCTACTTCTGTGCAATTTCACCAGTTGGTTTCCAGGGATCTGATCCCACTGGCTTCTGGTCTGCCTTGTCTGACAGCTGCTGGAACACAGAAGACTTAAAAATTAGTTCTAAATTCCTAACTTGGGTCACCACATTCTGATCTATTTTTAGGGCAACATCCTCCCTCTCTGACTCCGCGAGAAACCACTTTTCTTTTTCCTTTCATGTTCAGTGTTTTAGGTCTTTCTATCCCTAGATCGAAAGGATGTTTTCCTCTAGATGAATTATTGTTTTTAACAATTACATTTAGAGCTATGATCTATCTCAAATTAATTTTTTGCTAATGATGTAAGGTAAGGATTGAGATTATTTTTGGATATCCAGTTCTTCAAGCATCATTTGTTTAAAAGAATTTCCCATCCGGGAATATTAAACTGGACTTTTTTTTTTTTTTACAAAGATTGAACAAAATTTTTATTCTTTAGTTAAATACAACTTGGCCAGAATGTATATTATATGTGCAATGTGTTTGATATGCCAATGTGTAGTTAAAATGTTTTGTATTTGTAAGAGATATGGGTACAATGGGTACATATATATTTTTTCTTATAGTGTCTTTATTTTCATTTAGCCTTAAAATCAGGGCAATGCTGGACTCAAAATTAGATGAAAGTACTCCCTCCTCTTTTACTTTCTGTGATAGTTCATAGTTCAAAATATAAATAAATACAGGGGCTGGGGATGTGGCTCAAGCCGTAGTGCGCTTGCCTAGCATGCGTGCGGCCTGGGTTCGATCCTCAGCACCACATACAAACAAAGATGTTGTGTCCGCCGAAAACTAAAAAATAAATATTAAAAAAAATACACACACATACACACACAAATACACATATATATTTGGTGGTAGGAATTGAAACCAGGGCCTCTAACATACTAAGCATATCCTTTAAGACCAAATTATAACACTGTAAATGAAATCAGAGAATTCACCAGTGAAGCCATTTGGGTCATGCAACTTTTTTGTGGAAAGGCATTTTAAAATAAGATACAATTTCTTCAATAGGCACAGGTTTACATAGAATCTTTATCCTTTGTTAGTTTTAGTACTTTTGTCTTTTAAGGAATGCATCTTTTATTTTTATTGAGATTTAAAACATTCACAATATTAAAATGTAAAATAATTCAGTTGGTTTTTCAGTATATTAACAAAATTGTGCTACCATCACCACTATCCAATTCAAGATTATTTTCATCACCCCCAAAATGAATCTCTGTAACCATTAATCATTTTCCATTCACCCCATCATTCAACCTCTGGCAATGGATAACTAACATTCTTGTAGATTTCTTATTCTAGACAACTCATCTTGATGGAATTATAATTTGTCAACTTTTGATTCTAACTTCCTTCACTTAGTATGATGTTTTTGAGGTTCATCCTTGTTGTAGCATCTATCGATATTTATTCATGTTTATGGCTGAATAATATTCCATTATGTAAACATACCACATTTTTTATCCATTCATCAGTTCATGGACAACTTGGTTGTTTTCACTTTTTTGCTATTATGAATAATGCTGATGATCAGTGTGCAAATATTTGTATAGAAATGTTTTTATTTCTCTTGGGTTTATGCATGGAAATCAAACTACTGGGCCATATGGTAATCCTAGGGTTAATCTCTTGAGAAACTACCACAGTTTTTAAAAGCAGATACACCATTTTAAAAGCAGCTACACCACCAGCAGCCAGGTATGTTGATGCAAGCCTGTAATCCCAGTGACTCGGGAGGCTGAGGCAGGAGGATCACAAGTTCAAAGCCAGCCTTAGCAACTTAGTGAGACTCTCTTGAGATCTTGTCTCAAAAATTAATTTAATTAATTAATAAACAGCAGAGGTTAAGTGCCATTGGGTTCAATCCCCAGTAATTAAAACAAAAAAAAAATCTTACCAGCAAATGTGAGTTTACAATTTCACTGTCTCTTTGCCAGAATATGTTTTGTCCATTTTTTCAATTTCAACTATCCCAGAGGGTATGAAATGACATCTAATTTTTTAAAAACTTTATTTATTTATTTATTTTTATGTGGTGCTGAGGGGAATCCAGTGCCTCACATGTGCCAGGCAAATGCTCTATTACTCAGCTACAACCCCAGCCCTCTCATTTGTTGTTTTGTAAGCAGAAAAGGGATTTGTTTAGTCAAGGATATGTCACTCACAAACTGGAAGAACTGGAGAAACCTAGACTTGAAATTAAGCTTCCAAGTGCAGCCCCCTGAAATGCTATAGAGCAGTGGTTGAATGCCAAATGCCAGCAGCTCACTCTGCTGCGCACCAACATTACGCACGTCTCAACCTGGCTACTGCTGATGTGTTGGGGAGCTCTGTTGCCACCACGGCCATGAAAATGGACCTTCTACAGCGTCACCGTAGGCCTGGCCTCTGGGTCATGTGCCTACAAGAAAGCCTAGAAATTTGAAGTTGGAGGTCTAAAATACCTGGGGTGGGATAACTTATACAGGAGATGGAAGTTCTTTATTTCAAAGTTGAAGCCCAAAATGTTACATTTCAAGAATCTGACAGCAGTTCATGTTGCATGGGAAAGATAACTTGAGGAAGGGGGATGCCACTGTGGTCCTCCAGGCAACAGCCTTGGGCATTAGGAGGAAACAGGAGGGGCAGCGAGCAGTCTTGGGAGGTGACATGGAGTAGAATCCTAGGACTCCTTCATGGCAGTTCCGGAGGCTGAGATCAGGGTGCTGGCATGCGAGGGTTCT